ATAAAAAATGTATGACGGAGGAGACTCATCCACGACCTCCCACATCAAACTCTCCTCCTCTTGCATGTTTCTGCTGTCCAAAGCGTTACTTGACAGTGTTGTTGCTAAGTGCTACTTGGTCCCAATGTAATTTCCCATTGGGAACCTACTAGCACTAAGTTGCTAGCAAGATTCTTCTGAAAAACCAGACACCACCAAACTTGCTTGGGAACCTTCCGCCACATCAATCCCGCCCCCTTGATAATCGACCAATCACATTCATTTTATTCACTCGTGTAAAGTTGTGCACCACTCGGGAGAATTTGGAAATGCAACGGTTGGAACAGACGCTTCCCTACGACTTTAAAGATTTTAAACATGTTTTAAACTAAAACATGATGGGCTGCCAGTGGCTTACCCTGGTGAAGCCTACCTTCAAGTTTAGCCAGTTTTCTGGGGGGAAGCCAACTAGCTACATTTTATATTGTATCGTTCATAACTGTACCAGATAAATGCCAGAAGTGTGTGTATAAATGTATACACACATTAACATCATTATTGTCAATAATTTCTATGTCATCAATATGGTGACACAATAAAAACAGTGAATACTTTACCTTCCTTGCAATACGTTCCACAACTACCCGAGCAACAGGAGTAATGGCCCCACCTTCTGGGTCATAGAACGGGCTTTGAGAATGATCCAGGCTGGTCAAAGGTCGAATTTTCTCCTGAGGAACGGTGGGCTTGTTTGGTGACTGAAAGAGCCCAAAGGAAAAATGTCAATGATCTGTTAAATACAGTGTAATAATCTTAAATAAAAGAATTAAAATCCACATCTGCACAAAAAAGGATAAAATGGGACCCACAATGCAGGCAGGAAGGAATGGAGCAGCAGGGTAATTTAATAAATAAAAACAAAATTTACAGCTTGTCTTAAGGAGATCAGGATATAAAGCATGAGCAGAAAGAGAGGCATGGAAAGAGGATTATTCCACAGGGAATAATAATAATAACAAGTTAATAATAAGTTAAACGACCCCAAGAATAAACTAGAAGACTAAATGCAAATAAAAGCCCAAACATGAAAAAAAAAATCCCTAAAAACTTGGAATCATTGAATCATCATTGAAACCAATGAATCATCATTGGAAAAAAAATGAACTGGAAGGAAAAACTCAATTAGCAAAAGCCACAGAAAAAGATGGAGAGGAATGTTAGAAGATAATAAACACACAAACAAATGAACACAAATGGAAGAACCCATCACCTCAAATCATGACAAACAAGACCATCACCTAATCCTTTTGTCAACTGAGTGGACGGTTCAGGAATAACTGATTATGTTTACATCAAGCTTAGGTACAGTAATCTAAAACAACTCCTGCATAAGAGATAATATTTCTTTGTTATAGTTAACAAACATTGGATTTTATTGTTCCTCTTCCAGTGTAGGTAGCAATTTATTTATCTGTTAGTTTATATTTACAGGTTTCCTCATTGTTCTATATTTTCGGCCTGTAAACGTCTACAGATAGGTTCATCTGTCATCATCTCTACTGTTTTGTTTTTCGTTAAATTTGTTCTGTTGCTGGTTCGTCTTTATCTTCTTCTTCTGGATAATTTACCGTTTTTCAGATTTCTCTGCTGGCCCTACTAGTTTTGATTGAGCTGGTATAGTAGTAGCCATTCAAAATTTCCCCACTTTCTTGATGGCTTGGCTGGACCCCTTCAATTCCTTTTTAAACATCAATCTTTGTCTTAAACTTTTTTTTCTGTGATGATTTGTGGGTGTTACTGTATTTCATATGGAGCCCACCCAAATAATGTTGCTTACGGGCCTATTGTTGTGTCGTTACGCCATTGCCTGTAATTCAGTGAAAAGGGTGGCATCAGGGGGTCAATCCAGAGGCTGGAAGTTGGAGGGGATTTCGATGGGAGCTGCCATTCTGCTGGAGTTTGACTGGGATGGGCCATTTTGAATGGCTTCTACATTATATTTAGTGTGAAACTGTCATGGTGGTTTTTAGAATTTTTTTTTTTACAGTGTAATTTTTGGAAGTGTAAACATTTGTTTATGTTTTAATTGAAAATTGATTAAAACTAACATGTAGCTAAAGTGCATCCCAACTTCGCCAGGATGCATATGGACACAGTGATTCAACCCGAAATCCCACATCCTCCGTCACCGCCCCACCCCGCTGCGCTCCAGACCTCCTGCACAGAGCAAAGCCTACAGCCTCCGCTGTTCCTCCTATCTTTTTCATTCCGACTTCCTCTGAGCTCGAGTAGAGCATGAGCTATATTATCAAAACATGCAGAAATAAGCGCTTCATTTAATATGACATACTAAAAAATTTCCCATCAGCATCCAGCATATGTTCAGTTTCTTCCCAAATATTTTCTTTTTCTTGAGGATATTTGTAATAGCGATAACTAGGATAATACAAAACTGCTTTTTTATTAACTATTTTTTCTCTGCTTCCAAACTCATCATCTCTTCATCCATTCCTGCAATACAAGGTTTCTTTTGACTGGATATGATTAAACTTTTAAGCTCCTCGGTATAAAATAAATACTTTGATGAGAAATCTGCTGCCTGGTATGTTGAAGAACCAATAGTTTGCATCCAATCTTTTAAATGAACGATGTTCGTATTTTGGAATATATAAGAATCATGCTCTAATTTGTAGTTACCGATCTGTTGTTACTATATTTTAATTTGACGGATCGGCCTATTGCTTTCAGGGGTGCTAAACCGTGAAGTTTAATGTCTAGCTCCTGAAGTAGTGAAAAGTTACACAGTGATGCTTTAAAGAGAGGGCACTTATTAAAAATCATTATTCTCAAAGTTTTTTTTAACATAAAATGTCCTATGATGAGATCCTTACAGGTAAATTTTATTAATGCAGATGTTGATGGTATAGCTGTCAAGTCTTCGACCACCCTCCTGCATTCTTCCGTAAATTTCATTTATTAATGCATTATAAAATTCTATGGTGCAAAAAGTGAGGAGGCCTATGGAGTGAGTGTATGTGGCTACAGTATTTCTGATACAGAAATAGCATTTATGTAATTGAAATATCTATTTCATTCCAAATTCCTATTTTTTCATTATCCTATTTTTGAAGTATTCACACTTGTTCAAGACATTATAACAATAAAGTCTTTCTAATTACTCCTGAGAGGTCTACAGAGAGAGATTTTATTTTGTTATTTAACTTAATTTTATAAAGTTAAGGA